AGAGATTTTCTAATCATAGTATTTTTCTTGTGCACAATGGTACCGTTTAGCAGCTCCGTTGGAAAAATGAAGCTGACACTTTTCCTATCTTATGTGCAGGAATATATCTGCTCTCAATCTTCTCGGATAAATTGGTTCTATTTGTATTTCTGCTGTGTTGAGAACCCTCTTCGTATTTCTGCTCGTTCCCCTTAAGTGTTGAAAATCCTATTATATTCAACCTCGAATTTGATTTATCTTCGCGACTAGCAGAAAAAAACCGAAATCTTATTTGAGATATGGCAGATGCGGCACTTTCTTTTGCTTTGGGAACGCTGCATGATGTGCTTATCAGTAAGGCAGAATATTTGCGAGGCGTGAAGGGACGGGTTCAATTCTTGAAAGAAGAATTAAAGAGGATGCAAAGTTTTTTGATAGATGCGTCCGATAAAGAAGCCACTGATGAGCGAATGCGCAACTGGATTTCGGAAATCAGGGATGTGGCTCAAGATGTAGAAGATATAATCGACATGTTCGTTCTCAATATCGATATCCCAGGAAGAAGCGGGTTACTGAGGAAGTCCGCTTTGTTCCTATCGACGGCCATTAAGCGCTACAAAATTGGGAAAGAGATTGACTTAATCCAGGGTAGGCTCGAGAATATCAAGAAAAGCCGCGAGGCTTACGGGATCCAGAATCATGGTGATCACGGGGCATCATTTAGCACCAGCCGACCAAGTGTGGCGGAGTGGGAAAGACGATTGGCCTGCTGGCAGCAGAACAAATACGTGGTGGGCTTGGATACCGACACCGAAAAATTGCTCGAAGAATTTGTTATGGAGGAGAGCACATAGGAGCTTTCCATTGCCACCATCGTAGGCATGGGCGGCATTGGAAAGTCATACCTCGCGAGACAAGTGTACAATCACATAGCAGTAGCCAGATGTTTTGACTGCCGCCTTTGGGTATGCGTTTCAATTCAATTCAACCCCAAAGATGTTATTAAGGAAATTGATGATGCAGCTGGTTGGTACCAACTCCGATCTGCTCGACGAGTTCGACAAAGAGACTTTGTCTCAAGTCAAGCACAAGCTCCACCAATGCCTGGAAAGGAAAGCGCTATTTCATAGTGCTCGACGACGTATGGGGAAAACCAGCACTGGGAAAGCGCTATTTCATAGGAATAATAGTAATATATTTAATTAATCGAATATATTGATGGGTTTTTTTTTTTTTTTTTTTCCAATAACATACGAAAGTTTTCGATTCGTAACCTCCCACCAAAAAAATTTAAGTAGTATCACTCAACCACAAAAAATGTGACTTGAAACGACATTTTTAATTTGTTTATTTATATTTAATTCGAAAAATTATTATTAATAATAATAATAATAATAATAATAATAATAATAATAATAATAATAATAATAATAATAATAATAATAATAATAATAATAATAATAATAATAATAATAATAATAATAATAATAATAATAATCATAATAATAAATTAATTTTTTCTTAGAAAAATATTTTAATTGATATTACTGTCTTGGCTGCTAAATTACTGTCTCCAACAGTAATGGAGAGTCGAAGACATTAATTGAGTTGTCTAAGACAGTAATATTATTGTATTAATTAATTTTATCGTCTTGGCCTGCATTTTTGCTGTCTTCGACTGTAATATTACTGTCTCCGACCGTAATACTACTGTCTGATGCAATAATATTACTATTTGGGACAGTAATATTAGTAATATTACTGTTCGGGAAAATAATATTTATAACGTCGGGAAAATAATATTTATAATATTACTGTCTGAGATAGTAATTTAGCAGCCAAGACATTAATATTAATTAAAATATTGTTTTCTAAGAAAAAAAATAATTAAAAAAATAATAATAATAATAAAAAAGTCTACGCCGGAGACCCGGCGGTTGACCAGCCGAAAAAACATTTCAGAAAAAGAAAAAAAAAAAGAGTCAACACCAGAATCTGGCCGGAAAAAAAAATTCAGAACAATAATAATAATAAAAAAGTGA